GATGGCCTCCAAGTCCGCCCAAGATGGTCCAAGACGGCCTCCAAGACTGCCCAAGGAGAGTCCAAGACGGCCCAAGAGGCCTCCAAGAGGTCCTCCCGGAGGGCCCGAAGATGCCAAAATCATTGATATTCCTTAGGTTTCTGAAGGATTTTGGAATTTACTTCTTCTCGGCATTCCGACAGCTCAAGACGGCCCAAGAGGCCCCCAAGATCGCCCAAGAGGCCCCTCGGAGGGCCCCATGACGGCCCAAGTGACCTCCAAGACGGCCCCAAGAGGGCACCAAGACGGTCCAAGAGGCCTCCAACACGCCCAAGATGGCCTCCAAGACGCCCAAGATGGCCTCCAAGACGGCCCCGAAGCGCCCCAAGAGGGCCCCAGACGGCTCAGATGGCCCCAAGATGCCTCCTAGACGGCCCAAGATGTACCCTAGACGGCCTAAGATAGCCTGAAGATGGCCCAAGACGGCCCAAGAGGCCTCCAAGAGGCCTTCATGACAGCTTAAGAGGTTTTTAAGAGGTCCGCCAGGAAGGCCCGAAGAGGTAAAATCATTGATTTTCTTTTTAGGTTTTGAATGATTTTGGCATTTGCGCCTTTTCCGCTTTCCGACGGCCCCAGACGGCCCAAGAGACCCCCAAGATCGCCCCAAGGCGGCCCAAGAGGCCTCCAATATGGCCCCGTGACGGCCCAAGAGGCCTCCAAGACGGCCCCAAGAGGGCCCTAACGGCCCAAGATGACTCCAAGAAGCCCAAGATGGCCTCCAAGACGGCCAAGATGCATCCAGGACGGCCAAGATGGCCTCCAAGACGGCTAAGATGGCCCCAAGATGCCTCCAAGACGGCCCAAGATGCACCCAAGACGGACTTAGATGGACCCAAAAGGCCCCCCAAGAGGCCTCCAAGACGGCCCAAGAGGCCTCCAAGAGGCCTCCAACACGGCCCGACAAGGCCAAAATCATTGATTTTCGTTAGGTTTTTGAAGGATTCTCGCATTTGCGCCTTTTCGGCTTTCGGACGGCCCAAAACGGCCCAAGAGGCCCCCAAGGTCGCCCGAAGATCGCCCAAGAGGCTTCCAAGATGGCCCCATGACGGCCCACGAGGGCCCCAAGACGGCCCAAAGACGGCCCAAGGGGCCTCCAAGACGCCCTCGATGGCCTCGAAGACGGCCGAGATGGCCCAAGATGGCCTCCAAGATCAAGATGGCCTCCAAGACAGCTACGATGGCCCCAAGATGCCTCCAAGACGGCCCAATATGCACCCAAGACAACCTTAGATCGCCTAAAGATGGCCCAAAACGGCCGAAGAGGCCCCCAAGAGGCCTCCAAGACGGCCCAAGAGGCCTCCAAGAGGTCCTCCAGGAAGGCCCGACGAGGCCAAAATCATTGATTTTCCTTACATGTTTGAAGGAATTAGGGATTTGCGCCTTTTCGGCATTCCGACGGTCCAAGACGGCCCAAGAGGCTCAAGATCGCCCCAAGATCGCCCAAGAGGCCTCCAATATGGCCCCATGACGGCCCATGACGCCCCCAAGACCGCCCCAAGAGGGCCCGAAGACGGCCCAAGAGGCCTCTCAGACGCCCAAGATGGCCTCCAAGACGGACCCGAAGCGCCCCAAGAGAGCCCCAAGTCGTTTCAGAGAGGCCCCCAAGACGGCCCCCGACGGCGTCAGACGGGCCAGGAACGCCATAAGACGGCCAAAGAAGCCCCCGAGAAGCCCCAAAAGGGTCCCAAGAGGCCCTCAAGAGGCCCCAAGAGAGCCCAAGATAGCCCCAACATGGTCTCCAAGACGGTCCCAAGATGGTCCAATCGAGCCCAAGAGTGCCTCAAGAGGCTCCGAAGAGGCAAACCCCTTCTCCTTTTTCCTCCTTCTCCTCCTCCTCCCCTTCCTCCCCCCGCGTTATCCGAAACCTTTCTAAACCGACTCGGGGAACACATGGTCCGATAGCTTGGCCAAGCTCTAGCCCAGCTGTCGGACACATAGGCGCTTCCACAAAGGCAGGGGGCGGCGGTGATTCGCCGTAGGCGTCTTCGATCCGCCGCCCCCTGTCGATTCATCGCAGGGGTGCCTGGCGTGCTGGACTCCTTACGGTTTGGTTTTGTTTTTTTTCCAAAAGAACTCCCCCTGGCGCTTCGGCCCGTCCCGCCGGGGTCCCGGGAAGGAACTCCAGGCCCGCAAACGACCTCAACGTCCACAACACATTCACCAAGACGGCTCAAGATGGCCTTCAAGATGGCCATGTTGGCCCAAAATGGCCTCCAAGATGGTCCAAGATGGCCTCCAAGTTCGCCCAGGATGGTCCAAGACGGCCTCCAAGACGGCCCAAGAGAGTCCAGAACGGCCCAAGACGGCCCAAGGCGGCCCAAGAGGCTCCCTAGAGGCCTCCAAGACGGCCCAAGAGGCCTCCAAGAGGTCCTCCAGGAGGGCCCGAAGAGGCCCAAATCATTGATTTTCCTTAGGTTTTTGAAGGATTTTGGCATTCGCTTCTTCTCGGCTTTCCGACGACCCAAGACGGCCCAAGAGGCCCCAAAGATCGCCCCCACAGCGCCCAAGAGGCCTCCAAGATGGCCTCAGGACTGCCCAAGAGGCCCCCGAGGCGGCCCCAAGACGGCACAAAGACGACCCAAAAGGCCTCCAAGACGCCCAAGATGGTCTTGAAGACGGCCCTGGAGCACCCCAAGAGGGGCCCAAGTCGGCCTAGAAAGGCTCCCCGAACGGCTTCCGACGGCGTCAGACTGGCCAGGAGCCCACCAAAATTGCCGAAGTTGGCTCGAAGCTGGCCCAAGACGGCCCAAGAGGCCTCCAAGAGGGCCTCCAGGAAGGCCGGAAAAGGCCAACAACACGAATTATCCGTAGGTTTTTGAAGGATTTTAACATGTGCTTCGTTTCGGCCTTCTGACGGTCCGATACGGCCCAAGAGCCCCCAAAGAAACCAAAGATCGCCCAAGGCCCCAGAACGGCCCTAGAGGCCCCCAAGACGGCCCCAAGAGGCACACAAGACGGCCCAGGAGGCCTTTTAAGACGCCCAAGATGGCCTCCAAGACGGCCCTGGAGCATTCCAAGAGGGCCCCAAGTCGGCTCAGAGAGGCCCCCCAAACGGCTTTCGACGGCGTCGGACGGGCCAGGGGCCCACCAAGACGGCCGAAGATGGCCCTACGATAGCCCAAGACGGCCCAAGAGGTCTCCAATAGGGCCTCCCAAAAGGCCCCCCAAAGCCAAAATTATTGATTTCCCAAGAGTTTCTGAAGGATTGTGGCATTTGCATTTTGTTCGGCCTTCCGACGGCCCGAGACGACCCAAGTGCCCCCAAAGATCGCCCAAGAGGCCCAAGACGGCCCCAAGAGGCCCCCAAGACGGGCCAAGAGGCCTCCAAGACGCTCAAGATGGCCTCCAAGACGGCCCAAGAGCCCTCCAAGACGTCCTCCAAGAAGGCCCGAAAGGGTCAAAATGGCCTCCAGGCGGCCAAGAGGACCTTCAAGATGCCCACGTGTCCCCCGAAGGCTTTCCAAACCGATTCGGGGAACACATGGCCCGATAGCTTGGCCGGTCTGGCCTCAACGTTCGGCCACGTAGGCGCTTCCAAAAAGGCAGGGGGCGGCGGTGATTCGCCGCAGGCGTCTTCGAGCAATGCAGAGCGAGAAGGGGAGAGGGGGAAAACGAGAGGAGAGACGAGGAGGGGGAGGAGGAGGAGGAGGAGGAGGAGGAGGAGGAGGAGGAGGAGGAGGAGGAGGAGGAGGAGGAGGTAGGAACAAAGGAGGAGGATTAGAGGAGGAGGAGGAGGAGGAGGCGGGAGGAGGAGGAGGAGGAGTGATGGAGGAGGAGGAGGAGGAGGAGGAGGAGGAGGAGGAGGAGAGGGAGAGGAGGAGGAGAGGAGGAGGAGAATGGGAGGAGGAGGAGGAGGAGGAGGCGGAGGAGGAGGAGGAGGGAGGAGGAGGAGGAGGAGAGGAGGAGAGAGTCGAGGAGGAGGAGTGGGGAGAGGAGGGAGGAGGAGGAGGAGGAGGGCGGAGAGCGAGGAGGAGGAGGAGGAGGAGCAGGAGGAGGAGGAGGAGTGAGGAGGAGGAGGAGGAGGAGGAGGAGGAGGGGAGGAGGAGGAGGAGAGGAGGAGGAGGAGAGGAGAGGAGGGAGGAGGAGAGGGAGGAGGAGAGGATGAGGGAGGAGGAGGAGGAGGAGGAGGAGGAGGAGGAGGAGGAGGAGGAGGAGGAGGCAGGAGGAGGAGGAGGAGGAGGAGGATGGAGGAGGAGGAAGGAGGATGGAGGAGGAGGAGGAGGAGGCGGAGGAGGAGGAGGAGGAGCGATGAGGAGGAGGAGGAGGAGGAGGAGGAGGAGGAGGAGGAGGAGGAGGAGGGGAGAGAGGAGAGACGAGGGCGAAGGGGGCTCACATCCGTGGGAGCGCCCGGCAGCGGGAGGCCGCTACTGCACTTGGAAGGCCTCGGGCCCCGGCGCCTCGACCGCCGACGGGGGGCACGCTGCCCCCGCTCCTCCACCTCCTCCTCCTCCTCCTCCCTCCTCCTCCTCCTCATCCTCCTCCTCCCTCATCCTCCTTCCTCCCTCCCCCCCACCTCATCCTCCTCCTCCTCCTCCTCCCTCCTCCTCCTTCCTACTCCTCCTTCCTCCTCCTCCTCCTCTCCTCCTCCTCCGCCTCCTCCTCCTCCTCCTCTCCTCCTCCTCCCCTCCTCCCTCCTCCCTACTCCTCCTCCCCCTCCTCCTTCCTCCTCCTCCCGGCGGCTCCTCCTCCTCCTCCTCCTCCTCCTCCTCCTCCTCCTCCTCCTCCTCCTCCTCCTCCTCGAGGATGCGCTGGCACGCGCGCGCGCGCGGAGCGACTGAAAGCTCCTCCTCCTCCTCCTCCTCCTCCTCCTCGAGGATGCGCTGGCACGCGCGCGCGCGCGGAGCGACTGAAAGATAAACAAAAAATCCGGGCGGCCTGCGCGGCCGCTGAGCCCCCGCCCCCCGCCCCCGACGGGGCCCGCCCGCGGGCGGGCCCGCGGGCGGGCCCTCCCCGCGGCTCGCTCTCCCTCCCTCCCGGTGCCCGCCGGAGGTCCGCGGCGGCTCCCCGGGCACCTCCTTCCCGCGGCGGGGTCGTGCGCTTCCTGGGGAGGGCAGAGGCCGTTGCCGGAGCAGGGGCGAGCCCAGAGAGAGCCACCCGTCGACCTGCAACTGGGCCCCCCCCAAAAAAAAACGCCCGGGCTCTGCGGGGTGATCGCAAGGGCCTCGAGGCTCGAAGCAGCAGACGGGCTACGACAACCCGAACACTTTCTGCGTCGGCGGCTGGGCAAAGAAACAGGCGTCCTCGAAAAACTCTGAGGAGCGTGCATGAACGGACAGCAGGCAAGAAGAAAACGAAGCCAGGGGCCAGAGGATCACAAACACGACGACTGGGCGACGCCCTGGCGCGACAAGCCACAAGCTGGCCCGATCACGTGGCTCTCGGCAACGTGAGAAATCTCGAGCGGCCCTCGCTTATGTTATTGGAGCCTCACGCGATTTCCCAGTCACCGAAAGCCAGCCGTGCCCACTTCGGGCCCGCAGGTTGTACGGAGGCCCTGCCGGCTGTCCTCTGCGGACGGCCCGCGGCCCGCGGCCCGCGGCCTCGGGACCTGCGCGGCCGCTCATAACTCCATGCCGTCCAGCAAACCAGCCTCGATCCTGCCCCTAAGTAACCTCAAGACGAACCCGCAGGCGATGTCAGCAGAAGAAGAAACAGGCATGAGCATAAACCTGTGGCGCTCCACGCGGATTTCTCGGATCTGGCCCTGCGCGCGGAGCGCGCCAGGGGCGGCGCCGGAGGCGCCGGCGGGGGGGGGCCCAGCGACGATCCAAGAAATCCGCGCGGAGCGCCACAAGTTTATGTTTATGGCGTTGTTCCTTTTTCGATTCAGGGATGCGCCTGCAGAAACCGAGGGAACCCTTCAGATCGGCATCGAGATCGTGCGGTGCCAATCACTGGGACAGGGGCATGTTCTTCCAGGCTGGCAATGCCAATCCAGAGCTGCTCCTCGGCTGCCCCCTAAATGGACAGGGCAGTGCAGAGCTGCTCCTCAGCTGCCCCCTCGAACACCGGAAAAGCGCGCTGCTGCTCGCAAATTGGCCGGGATCCGCCGCCGGGGATCCAGGCTCTGTGGGCGAGCAACGACATATGTACATGTACGCCCTCCGCGGTCTTGCCTGCACGAACGTCGGCGTTGACACGCACTCCAGGGGAAACTGACCGCGTACGGCGTACGTGTACACCCTGCGAACTGCTTAAGAAATCATGGGTTAAGAAATTCATAGTCTCAGAATTTGAATCAAAAACCAGAATTTCTATCAAAATCTTGGGATTTACACTGAAACGTTAAGAACAATCGAGACTCTGGCCGAAAACTTGGGTTTTCTTGAGCATCGCCTGGAGTGTACATATGTTGCTGGCCTCTGACTTTGCTCGCACGCCTGCAGAAGCAGGCGCTCTGGCGAGCCGTGGAGCACGCGCCCTCGGTGACTACCACGGACCGCACGGGCGCCGGCTGCACCTCGCCGACAGCGGCCTCCCGGCGCCGCCGGGGCGGGGCGCGGCGGGCGCCGGCTCACCTCGGCTACACGCAGGAGCGACCCTGGGCAAGAGTGACCTTCGGTGCGCGGCTCCTTTCAGGGGGACGTAAGACCCGGGTACAGGGGACTCGGAAATCCCCGACGAGGTCGTCAAAAAAATGACGAGGGCGAGCCTGCATTTTGACGAGGCCTCCCGCCGCAGACATCCCACGAAACTCCTCCTCGTCAAAATCCGAGGCGCAGTCGTCAAAAAACGATGGCGAACCCGAGTCCTGGCAAACCCGGGTCTTACGCTCCCCCGATTTTTGGGGGCCGCGGGGGGACCAAACCTGGGCGCGCGAGCCGCTGCTCCTGCCTCGTCTGCAGCCACCTGGGGACCCATCTGTGCCCGCACCAGAGGTCGCTCCGGCGGAAGGGCACTCTTACGTCCAGTCGATCACCGCCGAACGCTCGGGCCCGCGCGACGCGTGAGGGCGGGCGTGCAGGCCGCCCCGCCTGCTCGCTGCCGAGCTGGCTCGGGCCCGCGCGGCGCGGGGACCCCGCGCGGGCGGCGAGGTCGGCCGGCGCGCCCGGCGGCCGGGCGGGCCCGCCGGTGGCACGGGCGCTGCCCGGCAGGTGGGAGGGCCACTCGTCCTCGCTGGCCATCGTGCTGGCCCGGCTGAGCCCCAGGCCCGCCTGGGAGTGCTTCGGGGAGTCCTCGAGGAGATCGGAGGCCGATTCGCTGTCGCTCGTGTGGTCGCTCGTTGCCGGACTGCTGGCCAGCTCCGTTCTGGGCAGCAGCTCGGGCGGCGTGAACTGGTTCGCAGCGTACCAGCCAGACGCTCTGTTGCCCGGGCGAGGCTTGGAGATCCCCGTGAAGAGCTCCTCCGTCTCTGGAGAACGACAGAAAGTCAATGAAGCTGGAAGCTCAGGACAACGAATCCCAAGGGGCCTACGGATCCTGCCAGCGGGGGGGCCGCCAGGCGGCTGGCGCGGCACGGAATGATGGAGCCACCTGCCCGCGCTGGTGGGGATACCAAACGTACCGATACCGCTGCTCCCGAACCTCTCCCGGGGTGCGTTCTGACCAAGACTTCGAGGCGAATCCAGCGTTGGCGACGAGGGCCTCCCAGGAGGTCGAAAAAGGCGACAACGAGGGAAAGGTAGGGGTTATGGGGCATGGATACCGCTTCCTCTCGGGGGCGGCCAAGAGGTGGGCGTGCAAGAGGGGGGGGGCGCAGATCACGTGGCCGGCGGCACGTGCGCGGCCCAAGGGGGGGCCAGGGGCGCAATGAAACAAGAAGAGGCGCCATGAAATCTGGAAAAACATCATGGCCCACACCATGACATCCCCCCCCCCTAATCATCACCCTGACTACCTACCAGGCCACCCCAACCCAACCCGAAGATCCGAATTTGACCCGAATTTCGGGTTGGGGGGGAAGTACGGGTGCCATGTGTGTTCTCGCTGTTCCCCGACCCCCCCCCCCACTGGAAATCGAGGGCAGATTCGGGCCTTCGGGTTGGGTTGGGGTGGCTTGGTGGCTGGTGACACCCCCCCCTTTTGCCGCCCCCGACCCTCTCCTCCTCCTCCTCCTCCTCCTCCTCCTCCTCCTCCTCCTCTCCTCCTCTCCTCCTCCTCCTCCTCCTCCTCCTCCTCCTCCTCCTCCTCTCCTCCTCCTCCTCCTCCTCCTCCTCTCCTCTCCTCCTCCTCCTCCTCTCTTCCTCCTCTCTTCCTCCCTCTCCTCTCGTCCTCCTCCTCCTCCTCCTCCTCCTCCTCCTCCTCCACCTGCCCGCGCCGGGACGCCCGCGGAGCGCCCGGGGGGCCGGGGGCTGCCTCGGCGCAGGCACCCCGCGGGGTGCCTCTGCCCAGGCTGCCGCCGGCCCTGGCCGCGGGAGCTCCCCGCCGACGGCCGGGAGACTGGCGCCCGCGAGGCTCGCCATGCTCTCGGGTCTGGTGCGTAGCTGACTACCTACCAGACCACCCCAAACCAACCCGAAGACCCGAATTTCGGGTTGGGGGGGTAAGGGTTCCACATGTGTGTTTTCGATGTTTCCCGACCCCCCCCCACTGGAAATCGAGGGTAAATCTGAGCCTTCGGGTTGGGTTGGGGTGGTTTGGTGGGTGGTGCGTAGCGCAGGGTGCCTACCTCGCTGTCTACTTGGGCCAAAAAGAAGCTCCAAGCCCGCGAGGCTCGCCCCCCGTTCGGGTCTGGTGTGTAGCGCACGAGTGCCTGCCTCTCTGTCTGCCTGGGTCAACAAAAACGGCTCCAAGCAACATGGCTCGAGTCGAAAACGGGAGGCCGTTCTGTGCCAGACTCTGAGTCCGTCTGCGGGCGCTCTTGGGCCGCTCTTGGGCCGCTCTCGCGGGGCCCTCTTCGGGAGTCTCGGGGTACTCTCAGGGCTCTGTTGAAGCCCTGTTGGGCACACCTCAAGGGCCAACAAGCCTTTTGAAGTACGCACAGGCAGGACAACATCATCGAAACACGCACTCTGGAGTCATGATTCTGGCACTCTTGGAAACCCAAGAGAAGGTTATTCGGCCATCTTGTGCCGTCTTTGCAGCCCATTGGATTGTCTTGGACCATCTTGGCGCAACCTTGGCACCGCTGTAAATCAATATTACGGACTTTGGGGGGCCTGGCGCGTTTGGACCCGCGTTCTTTGGGGGATCTCGCCCGCTCCTGGCGGGTTTTCGCCCGCTCTTGGGGCCAAGTGAGGTCCACAGAGAGTGTGGTTCTGGTGTTGGTTGAGTTGTGCATTATTCGAGTTTAGGTCATAATGTCGAACTAAAACTGTGACCAGAACTGGTCTGGGTAAAGGCAATATGGTGCGTCATCCGATCAGTAGTACTAGCGTCGAGCTATGATTGGTGTAGGTCTGGGTTGGGTCGGATTACGATTAATACCCAACCACAACTGTGACTGTGACCGGTCTTGGTTCTGGCTCAGGTAAGTCAGGTTATTCGAATGCACTCCGAGCAACTCGGCCAGACAAGAACCATGTGATAAGGACCAGTCGCGGTCACAATTGTGGCCCGGGCTTATTACTACACTCGTAATGAATGCCAGTTGAGCTGTCATGGTCACAGGTGTGGTTCGGGTTGCATATGCTCCTATCTCTACTATCTCACGCCAGGAGACCCACAGGGATGGCCAACACCCGCCCCACCAGAACCTGGCGGTCGGCCCCAAGGGCCCCGAAGGCTCTCTCCGGCCCGTTTCCGAGGGCCCATGCAGTTCCCTCTGGCCCGCCGGGTGGGCCTCCCGGACCTCGCGCTCGGCCTCCAAGGCCACCTCGCTGGCTTCTGGGAGTCCCTGGGGAATGTCCAAGATGACTTCAGGACAATGTCCAAGATCACTTCAAGACAATGTCCAAGATGACTTCAAGACAATGTCCAAGAAAATGTCCAAGATTACTTCAAGACAATGTCCAAGATGACTTCGAGGCAACCCAGCAGCTCCCGAGATGGCCCCGAACGCACCCGCCACGAAAGCAAAAGTCCTCACACCCCTTTTTGGGAAAAATATATGTTCAGCATGTTGGTTTTGAGAGCGTTTCAGCTGGCCCAAGAGCCTACAAGATCGCCCTTTCAACACCCAAGAAAGCCCCAAAAGGGCCACAGGTGACCCTCCAAAAGGCCCAAGAAGGCCCCAAGAGAGCCCCAGGACGGCGAAGCTCTCAGAATTGCCCCGGAGCGCCCGAAAACGGCCCAAAAAGTCCCCAGGCCCACCGCCCCATCCCTCCAAAACCTAAACGCCGTCAGAGGCCCCCACCGTACCCTGTAAAGAAAGATCCGGAGAGATCCAGAGAGCACTCGAGAGAAGACTTGGAGGGTACTAACTCAGTTGAAATACCCTCTAGAAGACAAAATGGAGGCAGTACTCAAGGATGAATTCCTGGGAATCTTTTTGGGAGCAGTCCAGGGAGCGTTCTGAATCGAATTTTGAAACGCATTTTGGACAGAACCCTGACAACGGACGACCGACGACGACGACAAAGAAAACGACGACGACGTTGACGACGACGACGATGACGACGACGACAACGATTGCGAAGAACCCTTGTCTTGGTTCTAGAACATCACAGAGGTCCTCATAGGGAGACAACTTGGACACCAAGGGCTGTCTGTTTTCCAAATAGGTGTGCCCTATAGGAATTCGAAGTCAAACCCTACTAATTGGTCCGTTGCCTTCCAAAATTATCCGGGCGAAAGACCCAACCATATGCAGTTGTGAATACCGCAATTGTGAGTATCTTCTTCGGTGGTGCTCACGAACCGCATAAGGGGCGTGCCGAAATGTGGCGGGGTACACAACACGAAGGAAAACGATTGGTCTAGTAAAAAGAGACTGAGCGCGGGTGAATCTGAGCGCGAGTGAGTGTAGGTGTGAATGAATCTGCGCGCGAGCGAATGTATTTGAACGAATGCGATCATGGCTACGCCTCGTGTGAATGTATACGAATGTGAATGGTTCCGGCACGCCAATATGTGCACTCCGCCGCAGAAAGCTTCCGCGGGACCCCTGGCGGCGGCGCCCGCGCGCCGCGACGCCCATGTCTTGGGCCCGCCGCTTGTGCTACCAGAGCTGTTCCGCCTATTCCTCTTGTCGATAATCCCAACAATTTCCTGGAAATTAATTCCCGCTAATCCCCCTGGTTCCCGCTAATTCCCCTGGTTCCCCTCTAACCGTTCCCGCTAATTCCCGCTAGTTCCCCTGTTCCAATGAATGCTTATGGGCGTCAGCCATACTCGGTCTTACATGGTTGGCCTACAATTTTGCACGTAGAACATGATATGAACATAAGACGTACACTATGATGCTATGGTGACGGTATGATGGCACGACACATCGCACGAGTCGAAAGAGCGAGACGCGGAGGAAGGATGCAGGTGAGGGGAAGACGACGAGAGGGGACGACGACCAGGAAGCGACGGAGGGAACAAGTGGGGAAAAGGAGCCGAACAATGAGGGGGGCAGCAGGAGGGGAGCAGCAAGAGGGGGAGGGAGAGGGGCAGCATGAGGGTGAGGAGAGGAGGGAGGGCCGTCACAACGTCACCGAGAGGGAGGAGGAGGAGGAGGAGGAGGAGGAGGAGGAGGAGGAGGAGGAGGAGGAGGAGGAGGAGGAGGAGGAGCAGGAGGAGGAGGAGAAGGAGGCTCTGGAAGGCTCTCGGCGAGGCGCAACTGCAAGAAAGCAACCCGAGCTCCCCAACCCCTCGCCCCGCATGATTTTCATTGCTGGGGATTACCGTCCAGGGGTTCGGGGATTACCGCCCAGAATTAACGGACCTCCCGGGCACCTCCCGGGGCCCCACCTCCCGGGGACCCTTCCCGATAATTTCCCGAAAATGAAACCCTGTAAATTACAGGGACGAATTAGCGGGAAGGCCCCCACCTCCCGGGGCCCCACCTCCCGGGACCTCCCGGGGATTTTTTCCCTCTAGTGCCTGGACGGTAATTCCCGTGCCCAGCCCTCGCGGCAGGAGGCTTGCTATCGCCC